GTGTCTTTGGGGGCTGAGGTCCTGACTCCCAGGATCCCAGGAGGCCGCCTCATCTGGGAACGGGGTCGTGTCGATGCCATTGGTCGAGCTGAGGTCAAGGTGGACCGGGGCAGGCCACTGTGGACCTGCCAGCCAGGGCCACCGGGATTGTCGGCCACCAGGAGCTGGGAGAGGCCAGGGAGGTCCTCCCGGGCTGCTGGGGGGTGGCTGGGGGTGGCTGTGAGGACCCTGTGCAGGCAGCTCCTGGCCCCCAGCAGCAGGGACAGCGGTTTCTGTGTCTGAGTCACTCAGTTCACGGCCCCAGGGTGACACAGGAGGTGACGTTGGGAGGCTCCACCCCGGGAGGGAAGGGCAGGAAGGACCCGCTGGCCAGGGGGTTCCCAGGGCCACTGACCGGGCACCTGGGCGACGGGCGCAGCCGCGGGACGTGGGGCGCTCACCCACCCGTCCCCCGGGCACCTGGTGGAGGCTGCTCGGGGATGTCCCCTGGTGGCCAGCAGTCCCAGGGAGGGACAGAGTGACGGTGACCCCAGGGAGGGCTTCACAGTGGAAACCTGGACGGCTGGGGTGGGGACACTCAGGGGAGGCCCTGTGCCTGCAGGATGACGAGGTGACCGCAGCCCAAGGCCAGCAGCGCCCACCTCCTCGCCCCTGTGGCAACACCACATCACAGACACCGCCAATGTCCCTCACGGGACAGAGACCCCTGGGCGAGAAGCTCTGCCTCAGAGTCTCAACACCCCGAGGACGACGGCGGGCACAAATGGTGGAAAGTTCTAGAAGTCGGTTCTGAGTCAGGCTGCCACCAGTCGGTCGGGGTGGGTGGGACATGATGATAAAAACGTCAGTCATGTTTCTAAAAGAAATACTAAGGTGGGGTCTGGCTCCTCCTGAGCTCGGCCAGGGCCACCCTCGCTCCTAGGCGAGGTCTGATTACCTGTGACCAGTCCCTGTGTCCCGGGGCAGTGCGCAACAGGCACAACTGTCTGGGGCCCCCCTTTCCGCCCACTCTCAGGCTGCACCCTAAATGGGCGACTGAGTCGAAGGTCAATTCCCATGAATCTCCCTCCAACCTCTGGGGGGACATTCCACAGAAGCAGGCCCCGGCCCAGAGGGGTGGCCCAGCCCCGCACAGGAGGAAGCCAGGCCTCGCTCCCCAGCGGCCAAGCCCCACACGGGCCACACCTCCATCTGGAACCGCGGCGTCAGGGCAGGGCCCAGGGACCCTGGAGGGTCCACAGAGGTGCACGTGCCAAGTGGCCTCCGGACGCTCCACAGAGAACCGCGCTGTGGCCGCCTTGTTCCTAACCCTAAGTCTTTGGCTCCGGCCTTCTTCAGCTGGGGACAGAGGACTGATCTGGGGACCTCCCTCTCACACAGGTGGGTGAGAGGAGGGTTAGTGGGCTGGGGACGAGGGGGCATCTCCACAGGTGTCAGAACTGTAAACGACTTTAACCTTTGACCCCCAGCTACGTATACGCAAAAGCACAGCAAGCACACAGGGAGCTCAGGGCAGCTCGCCCGCACACGGAGTTCGGCCGATGTTTCCCTCCAGGGCACCCACAAGATGGAGTACTATGCTGCTGTCTAAAAGAATGAAGAGGGGCTGAGGTTGTGGCTCAGTGGCAGAGCACTTGCCTGGCATGTGTGAGGCCCTGGGTTCGAGTCTCAGCACCACATAAAAATAAATGAATAAAACAAAGGTTCATCAACATCTAAAAAAAAACTAAACAAACAAACAAAAAAAGAATGAAGGGGCCATCGGTGCCCTGCAGTGGGGAAGGCTCCGGAATACTCTGCCACGGGGGCGGGGAGAGTGACGGACCAGAACAGCAGGCGCAGGAGCCACCCTCTGGTGTGGGGAGGGGAGGGGGCTCAGAGCTGACGGAGCCACGCCACTGTGCTCTGTGTCTGCCTCTGCCTCTTCAGCCACGTGC